ACAGTTGCGTGAATTATTGACATTATCAATGCATCAAAACGCAATTGTGGTGACGTAGCCATCTGCCCTCTGAACTTTGTGCAGTAGACTTGGTGGCGCTGAGCTCGTGGAGCTCGCGGGCACGGTGCGGCCGTGCAGCAGTCGGGCAGCGGCCCCCGCCGGACACCGATCACCAATACAGGACTACCTTATTCAGAACGCTGTGTGAGAGCAGGTGTGCCAAAAACGGCAGGGCGGAGCACCGCCGTTTTTTAGATATCTGCGAAAAACCGCAGGGAAGGGGGGGGGGTGTTCAAACACCCACCCCCCGGCCCAGCACGGGTTAACCCTCGCCCGCACATGGGGGGGGGGGTGGTTGCCACCCCCCAGGCAGTCTTTCTGCTCTGCACTCAACATTTTTAGAGCTAGAAGGCTGATTTTTCGTATAGCTGCTCGTCTATCCTTTCTTGATGTCCACTGAAAATTTCAAGTTTCTATGATTTTTGGTTTCGGAGATATGACCTTATTTTTCAGGTCATGTCATGACCCAAATGGCCAATTCTCAACATCTTGCGTTTGCCATGGTCCTTGTGAGCTTTTGACACCCTGATTTCGGCCTTTTTTGCCGGTCTTACCTCCCACCTATCATAGAGCATGTTGTTCGACGATGTACAGGGGTCAAGGTCAGGGTCAAGGTCAACCTAGGTCATCTAAGATAATTGCGTTTTAGGCAAGCTGAATTTACTTTTTGTGAAGTTTTTGACTGCATTTTTGGTAAAAGCTTCTCAGAAGATCATGATTTCATGTGATATGGACCCAAAAACAATCGGTGCACACATCAGTATACACACAGACACACACAGACATACAAACACATATAATTGACTTTGACCTAACTTGACCTGAAATGACCTCAGCAGCAAAATTCTGGTCGGATAGTGTGACAAAGAGGTTCTAGCTGGCTTGGCACCAGAAAACAGCATCGTCATCGGTATTTGATAAGCAGCGCACTTGATATCCAACGGTGACCCAAAACAGCAACATTTTCTAGTTTGACCTGACCTGGAAGGTCAATGACTGACCTGAGAAGGTAAAACTGGGTATCATTGGATTCGTCTCTTCCCAAAGAATCTTTTTGGTCTTTACCGCGAAGCTCTATCTCCAACAGGAACGAAATGGCGAGGGGGGGGTGGCAACCACCACCCCCCCCCCCATGTGCGTTCTAGGATGGGAAAATGGCATGTGCGGGCGAGGGTTAAAAAAATGTTTTGATACTATTCACTGAGGAGAGGTTAGCTCCGTCTTATTCGTCATTACCATTGTTATCCGACATTTCTCAACCTCTATAAAATACTACGTATTGTGTCGAACGATACACATGCAGGGCTCCTATTCTGACTCATTAAACTCCAAAACCATTCATTGAAAAGTTATTATGATAGCAGCAATAGCTTCATCATGAATTGTGGTATCCGGTGATATGCTATTTAGTATTTACTCATATATCTCCTCGAAACTACCGTTAAATTTACATTGAAAACCGGACATATTTTTCAGTACCAAAGCCCGATTTCAGGAACCGGAGCGTGGGTCTCCTTTCGGCAGGGATATAAGTCCTCAAATGGTAAAGTTGCTAAGCATACGGCTCTATCCGATAACTCAAGGTAATTTCCTACCCAGCGATAGGTACACTCGGGGGCAGATTGATGTTCCACAACTCTTTATCCACCGGGTTCCTATGGCTCAGCATTGGCAGCAGCCGCCTGGTACCGGTAGACTGTGCCGCTTCACTTACTTGTCAAGCGGCACAGCCTACCCACACCGTATGCCACCGGTCTGGGTCGGTGGCTGGAAGGCGATGTGGGCCGCCTGTGACGTCAGCGCAGCGGTGAGGGCCGAGCCCGGAGGCATGGCTCGGGTCGGCGCGGCGCGGCGGCTGGCGAGGGCTGGGGAGTGAGGTGGGGTGGGAGCACGGACCATCGCGCGGCTGAGCGAGTCAAGGCGCCAATTATTCTACCTAACAATTGTGCTAAAGCAGTTGTTAAAATGTCCCATCCCCAAGACAGCGCCTATCATCATACTTGCCATGCACATTACGACACACTTAAACGTGACATTGGGACAGCCGATAGAATTTATATCACACGTGCATCAAGTTGCGGAGCTACATTGTTTTTAACAGATATGTATTAAGGCCTTGATTGAGCTCATTGGTGTCTATTATTTCGCACAGCAATCGTCCAGAGACGTGGGAACTGGGGTTTTTGGATAGCGCGGCGTCCCAACTCTTATGTTCCTCTAATGTGTGGTCGCAGCCACCAATAGCAAACCGTTCCATCTAGGAACAAATAAGTCGCGCACCTGGGACGGTTCGAACCGGGTTTCTCCAACCGGTCACCCCACGACGCTAGCCTGTATCCACTGAGCTGCCGAAACCAGCGACCACCCGCCGCGGTCAAACGCGATCAAATGTCACAATACTGTCATTGGCGGTCAGCGGGTGAATGTCATTTTGTTTTGTGCAGACGAGGACCATTCTCGGTAGCTCAGTGGATGAACGCTCGTGTCGTGAATTGGCCGGTGGGAGAAGCCCGGTTCGAACCCCCTGAATGGCCGACTTTTTGGCTCCTAGTTGGAACGGTTTGCTATTGGAGGCTGCGACCACATATTAGAGCAACAGTAATAATCGCTTTAAATTGGAGCGTTGGCTGCGGCACTACTCATAACCCCCAGTTCCCACGTCTCTGGACGATTGCCGTGCGAAACAATAGACACCAATCTGCTCAATCAAAGCCTTAATACTAATATGTTATACAAAATATACACTGAAAACAAATCGACACAGTGAGGGTATGTTCTGTACTGGTAACACATCAGTCATGTGTTAATCGCACCCAAAAACACAATAAGGCTGTGTATTTTCACGCTTGGCGGGACCTTCGACACGTTTGATAACACAGAAAACAGAATAATGACACACTTTTCTCGTGCCAAGCACGCTGGACGAATGTAATGCATCAGTGTATCGAAATCATGTGTTGTCGGATATGGTAGACGTGTACCCTTACACAAATATACCGTGCCATCCACCAGTGAGCGACCTCTGAACCTTAACTTCAGATGGGGATAACAGAGGGCGTTTTTCGAGCACCGACTTTTATGCTGCGTTTTTGTAAAAATTTGCCAAAGTGTTTTGAGAAAGGTCAAAATGCACAATACAGCCAAGGGAGTCGATACCTACATGATAAATTGTCTGAAGCAATATGCGCTGATTACATCAAGTGCAAGCTGAAGCATAGCTAATTAACGTCTGCTTGGAGGAAGAAACTCCTCGGTCTGTATAGGATATATTCGAAAAATCGGTGGCCGAAAATTTATCCCGGCTTTCTGGACAACTGTATTGTGCAATAGTCCTCCAATGTGGGGCATCGTCACTTGGTGCTCTGACTGAGCCGTCCACGTGACGCGTTCACCCTTCGGCTCTGAAGTGGCCGACCGGGCGCAACTCCAGCTCGTGTATGGGTCGGCGGCCTCGTATGGGTCGGCCGGCCGCGTGCTCAGCCCTGACCGCGTTCTGACCGTATGGGTCGGCCGGCCGGGTGCTCAGCCCTGACCGTACCCATGCGCCCGATTCCACTCGGGGCCCGGCTTTGGCAATCAGCCTGTCCAGCCAAAGCCAAAGTCCCTTCAACTGCGCCCCGGCAACAAACTACATAATCACCACGTGTTTCCTTCTTTCACTTGCGATTTGTGTTAAATTTAGTAACACATTTACCTTGTGTTCTGCAAATGTATTCACACAAGCCTTATGTGTTGAAGACACAATGATATTGTGTTTTAGGACACAACACGACTGGGTTAACACATTTGTAAATTGACACGTCTGCGACGGGTCAAAAAATGCATGATGCAGGGTACACAAGAAAACCTAGTTAACACGCTCTGCCTGTGCGTTTTTAGTCGTTTTTTGTGTCATTTTGTTTTCAGTGTAGCTCCGCACCTCGATGCACGAGTGACATAAGTTCTATCGGCTGTCCCATTGCCACGCTTAAGTGTGTCGTAATGTGCATTGCAAGTATGATGATAGGCGCTGTCTTGGGGATAGGACATTTTAACAACTGCTTTAGCACAATTGTTAGGTAGAATAATTGGCGCCTTGAGATGCGAAAGTTAACTACACTCGCCCAGCCACGCGATGTCCGTGCTCCCACCCCACCTCACTCCCCAGTCCTCGCCAGCCGCCGCGCCGCGCCGACCCGAGCCATGCCTCCGGGCTCGGCCCTCACCGCTGCGCTGACGTCACAGGCGGCCCACATCGCCTTCCAGCCACCGACCCAGACCGGTGTCATACAGGTGACTTGTCAGGCTGTGCCGCCTGACAAGTAAGTGAAGCGGCACAGTCTACCGGTACCAGGCGGCTGCTGCCAATGCTGAGCCATAGGAACCCGGTGGATAAAGAGTTGTGGAACATCAATCTGCCCCCGAGTGTACAAATACCAGTTTATCGAAAGTCGGCCTTTTGATTAAATTCGCGCTAATCTGGTGTTCGGTAAGACCGTGCAGTGGTGGGAGCGCGCTCCAGCCCGAGCCCCCTGCCCCTGCCCCTGCCCCAGAGCGGCAGGAGAGAGCCCCCCCCCCCGTCCTCCGGAGGCGCCGGTGCAGCCGGCCGGCCGGCCAGATCAGTGGCGGTGATCTCACCGTCTCGTCACCGCGGGGCGCGCCGGCTACCGGCGAGTATACAGCGGCACCCTCCCTCTGCCAGCGGGCGGGCACACAGCCCGGGCACCCCTCCCCCGCCCCCGCCCCCGCCGGCTGACCCGCTGACCCCAGAGGTCACCGCCTCCCGGCGCGGCGGCTGGGCCGGCGCGGGGCGGAACGGTGTCGGGCCGGCGCGGTGCGGGCAGGTGTCGGGCCGGCGCGGGCCGGGGTGGTGTCGGGCCGGGACGGAACAGGTGGCTGCCGGCGCGGGGCGGGGCGGGACGGCCGGGGTGGGGAGTTTATTTTCGCCAGCGCCGGCCGCCGAGATCAGGGAGGCCGGCCGGCCGGTCAGCGCCGCCAGTCGGCCGGCGACCGGCGACCCGGCCGCGCCCCAGGCGCCCTCACCTCGACAGAGGCGCAGTGGAGGGTCACCGGACTGGTCGGCAGAGGCGCAGTGAGGGGCCACGTGACCGAGCTACCCGGAGTCGGTGGCATGTTCCGTGACTAGTCTGTGACAATTCAGCCAATGGTCACGTGATAGTTCCGGCGCCTGTGACTCTATGGGCGTCGCGGGACGCACTCACGGCTCTGTGGCCGTGCTCCTGACCTGCCTCTCAGTGGTGACCACGTGACCGGACTCGGCCTCTCAGTGGTGACCACGTGACCGGACTCGGCCTCTCCGTGGTGACCACGTGACCGGACTCGGCCTCTCCGTGGTGACCACGTGACCGGACTCGGCCTCTCCGTGGTGACCACGTGACCAGGTAGACGCCCAGCCTCTACTGTGCCGGCGCCAGCCTATAACGAGTTACCGAGCCGACCTGCGTCTGGGTGAGAGCCTCCCGAGACGGCGAGCCGACACGAACAGCTTCAGTACGTCACCTGTGTGAATCGCCGTCCGACACGGACAGCTTCAGTACGTCACCTGTGTGAATCGCCGTCCAGCGGCTCCTGGGGGCGCCTGGTGCCTGGACACTCCCTCAGGTCACTGCGGCTCCTGGGGGCGCCTGGCGCCTGGGCACTCCCTCGGGTCAGTGCAGGGCGCCCGCCGAGTATACCTGAGCGGCGACCCGCAGCTCAGGCTGTCACGGTGCTCTGTGTTCGGAGGGGAACTGAGGGACCGTCCTTGGTGTCCGAGTCTCCGCAGAGAACCCGCAGGGAACGGTGCTCCGCGGCTCTGCAGCCAACTGCAGCTTGTGGCTGCCAGTGAGCACCTAGTCTGGTGGCGAGGACGTTCCATCAACTGCACACAGAACTCTGTGACCTTCAATAAGACGCCTTTTGTGACACCCTGTGAGAGCCCTGAGTGGTATCCAGCGCAGCGAGACCAGCCATTGGTCTCCGAAGCCATGGGCTGTTGTGCGTCCAAAAACCATCCGCTCAGCGGCCACCTGGCCAAGTCGGACTACAGACTCCGTGAGTATCAATCAGTCGGACTACAGACTACGTGAGTATCAATCAGTCGGACTACAGACTCCGTGAGTATCAATCAGTCGGACTACAGACTCCGTGAGTATCAATCAGTCGGACTACAGACTCCGTGAGTATCAATCAGTCGGACTACAGACTACGTGAGTATCAATCAGTCGGACTACAGACTCCGTGAGTATCAATCAGTCGGACTACAGACTCCGTGAGTATCAATCAGTCGGACTACAGACTTCGTGAGTATCAATCAGTCGGACTACAGACTCCGTGAGTATCAATCAGTCGGACTACAGACTCCGTGAGTATCAATCAGACGGACTACGGACTCCGTGAGTATCAATCAGCCGGACTACAGACTCCGTGAGTATCAATCAGTCGGACTACAGACTCCGTGAGCATCAACCAGTCGGACTACAGACTCCGTGAGTATCAATCAGTCGGACTACAGACTCCGTGAGTATCAATCAGTCGGACTACAGACTCCGTGAGTATCAATCAGTCGGACTGCAGACTCCGTGAGTATCAATCAGTCGGACTACAGACTCCGTGAGTATCAATCAGTCGGACTACAGACTCCGTGAGTATCAATCAGACGGACTACAGACTCCGTGAGTATCAATCAGACGGACTACAGACTCCGTGAGTATCAATCAGACGGACTACAGACTCCGTGAGTATCAATCAGTCGGACTACAGACTCCGTGAGTATCAATCAGTCGGACTACAGACTCCGTGAGTATCAATCAGTCGGACTACAGACTCCGTGAGTATCAATCAGCCGGAATATTGGTCGGATACACCACTGGCCATAGCGGGGAGATTTATGGCCACCTTTCATGTTTTTGGGTTTGTAGAGTAACCGATTTCGCTGTCGCTAAAACTAAGAATTTCCCATACTACATCGACTATTCGTAAGTTAAATTGAAGGCCAAGGAATTTGTGATCGTGTTGTCCCTATTAGTGACAGGCCCCTGGCTACCCCTTTAGTGGCATGGGGACCGTAAAGGACCCCCTACCCACCCCACCCCACCCCCTCGAGATTATCTCAAAATTAAGTCGGCTGATTTTCAAAACTGAAACGGCATTCGATTTCACTCAACGAGATATACATTTCTAAAATATAAAATTAAAAAACGAATAAGGAGGTGGCAGTACGGATAAAACTGCAAATGGTATAATTTTTACTGCTTACCGGCCACGTTTTTTTTTTTAACCAATTTTGACGCAACTTCTGCCGATTGATGAAAAATGAACCAGAAATTTACATGTATCATAACAATGAACATTTCAAAAATCTTACCCGGATATAAGTAATTGAACTTGGCAGGTACAAGTAATTGAACTTGGCAGGTGCCATGTACACAAAAAGCACAATATTTTTTTTTTGCTCTCACTTAAACGGAGTGGCAATGGACTTATTATTTTACAGTAACGTGTGATAACACAAATAAAACTTTGATACATAAAGGTCATTCCTGGCCGGCGTCAAGGCACTGAGGTTGGGAAGTTGGGAGACGGGGGGGGTGAAATCGACCACCCTTTCTTTTTTCTGGTACCGCCTATGATCCATCTCTGCGTGTGGATCATAGGCGGTATTGCTTGTGAATATGTAACACCTACAAATTATGTTCACTTCAATCGCTATTACATTTGTTTTCCCATACATGCAACATTGCACGTTTAAATCGAGAAAGCCAGGCATTAAAATGGCACGTGCATTATACTGCACTTTTGAAACATGCAAGAAGTCAATGCTGCCATAGAGATCTTATATACATAGAGACCAGTATAGCGCCTTTTGGGGCGACTAACGGAGCGAGCGAGAGGGTGAGCCTTGCACGTGCGAAATTTCGAGGGGGTACCTCCAGCTGACTTGTGCACGGCACCCTACTAACCGGTCTCTAGCGATGTGCCAAATTTGAGCACAATCGGCCCAGCCGTTCTCGAGATCTGGAAGCGGCACCCTGCACGTGCGCACGTGCAAAATGGGTCCCAACTGACTTTTGCACAGCACCCTACTAACCGGTCCCTAACCATGTACCAAATTTGAGCGCCATCGGTCCAGCCGTTCTCGAGATCTGGAAACGACCCCTGCACGTGCGCACGTGCAGCAGCACCCCAACTCTGGCACATGGATATGCAGTGCCTAGTGGGTGCCTACCTACATGCCAACTTTCAGCGCAATCGGCCAAGTAGTTACCGAGATATTGCAACAATTACAAAAATGACACCTCTTCGTTTTGCACGTGGCACGTGCATAAGGGGTCACCCACATGCATCGGGAATAGTCCAATACTTGGTAGAAGGAATGAAGCTACCCCACAAAAATTACCGCATGTAAATCGGTCAAGTGGTTGCTGAGATATAAGCCTCGCAAAAGCGTGACCACGGCCCTCATACTCAGAAATTTCCGTTATTCTACGTAAGACTCCGCTCGCTTCGCTCGCTCCGTAATGACATGCATAGAGATATATATACATAGAGATGACATGCCTGTGCTGAAGCACTTGGTGTCATGGAATTTCGTTGGACCTTTTTAAGCACACTTTTCTGAGCATCCAATAAGTATGTGCTAAATTGAGTCGGGGTCTTCAATATTGGAGACAGTTGAAATGGCAGTAGGTATACTGTAAGTAGGTATACTGCGTGCGGTTATATTGTAAGACTTCGCTGAGTACAGTCGGACGCAGTTGCGACCCAATACCTTTTACGTATTATTTTCAAATAACGCAGGGCCGCCTATGGGCGATCTGAAAACAATGCGAAAAAGAAAAGGTGCTGGATAACAACTGCCACCAACTGTTCATGCATACCTATGTACATGTTTCGCAGCTCCCGTGTGCTGACATTTCTCCCTCTAGATGGCACTAGTGATGCGCGCCTGAAGAGATCCTGCGCCGCAGCGCCCGTGTGCTAATATTTCTCCCTCTACATAGATGGCACTAGTGATTTGTGACTGGAGATATACTGTGCCGCAGAGCATGGCTGATCATTTTCATCCAAAAACTTTCACCCCCCTCTCCCGAACTGGCGCTTTGATATACCGGTAGTCGGTACATTCCAGGGACGTAGCCACGCGTACCACCGCGTATCAAACTTTGTAAGGCAATAGTTTGCTTGTCAACTAGCTCTCTGAATCAAGAAGCATTTTAACATTTTTAGCATTTCGGTCAAAAATTATACATTTGGATGAATTTTGGAAATTTTCGTGCATACCATCATCTTCCTTATAAGTCAAAGATAATGAAAACATGTCGCAACTATAACCTGCTGTTCAGGGAAACGAGTGAGAGGGCGTTTTATTGTAGTGTGCTTTTTCGCTGTATGCAGGTAGCACGACGCTGGTCAGGACGAAGCTACACTTTGAGAGGTTTTTTTAGGCATAAACAATCATTTTACAGACGATTTAAGGTGTGATTCGGATGCGCTGGACAATTCTACGTGGAATGAATAACAAAAAAGTGGAAATCGAAATACTTTAACTTGCCACTTAATGCGTGCTATGATGGCATAAGTCCCCACGGTGCGCCGGCGGCGCCCGAGTTTTTTTTTTTGCCAGTTACCATGCCACTCGGAGACTTGTGATATGCGTATGTTTCTTACCGCTGCAGCGGTTAGAATAAAGAAACATACCAGTGCGCTGGCCATATGAAAGCTGAACAAAAGTCTGCATTATATTGTATATGTAATTATGTAGGCATGAGACCCTCTGTAGAAAGGAGGCCCCTTTAGGGAGGAGGCCCTCTGTAGAAAGGAGGCCCCCGGGATTCCTCCGCCCCTCCCTTGGCCAAATCCTAGCTACGTGCCTGGTACCTTCCCCTAGCTGACAAGAATTACAGAAATATGCGAGTGTGATATATGCGTATGTGTGACTGATGAACTGCACTGACCTCGCGGGCTATAATGGGGGGGGGGGGGCGTACCCCCTGGCGAATATTTGCAGTAGCTCCCAAACGCTTAGGGATAGAAAGACGAAACTTTCAGTATGTATTCAGTATGTACCCCTCATCAATTGGACATCTTCTGGAGTAAAAATTGGAGCCTAGCCCTCTTCATGACGTCACAGGGTCGATTTTTCTGCATTCACCACGCGTCGCTCTTCCAGGCTTTTCAGAACTAATGCCAGTGTTTGTTTGAGCCGTACTTCCCGTTTGTTTGAGTTTCTGCGCTTCTTGTCGTCGGCGTCAGCCCTGTCATCATGATGTCCAGGTTGCGTTTCAGGGTAGCGGCACTCGGCAGCTCGTGTACTGGTGGTCGAATGACGCTGTTGTCCCACCTTGTTCTTGTAGGCCGCTACCCTTGGAACGGCACATTCCAGTAGTCGAGCTTTGGAGCCACCTTTTGATACCAATGCTGGATTGAAATGAAGAGAGCAAAGTCGGTCACATGCAATGGGCATCTAGTCAACCGGTCTCATTATGGCTTCTTTCGATTTATCAAGAGCGCTCCGGTGCTTCGGGAAGCGATACAGAGAAACATACTGCGGTTCCGAATCTGATGTATATGTTACGGGTCATATGCTAACTTGGGCAGTATGCAAACTACCCGGGCAGTATGCATACTACCCAACAGCCCGGGCAGTATGCATACCGCCCGGGTAGTATGCATACTACCCGACCCCTTGGGCAGTATGCATACCGCCCGGGCAGTATGCATACCTCCCGGGTAGTATGCATACTACCCACATTTCTTCTCACGGGCAAGATGTTTACTCGGGCAGTATGTTGACCACACTTCGTGAGGCTTGCTAATGCAATAGCTCGCGTATATACGAGTTAATGTGAATGACAAATGTTTTAACCTTTCAGGTTCCACCTAAACCGTACATAATTGTCTTATAACCAGCACCATTGAGTTGGAAAGGGAAAAATTGTTCATAAAACATACATCGCACAACCCTAGTAGAGTTGGGTTCATGTGCTGACCCTTGGTGACCTAACCTGTGACCTGACCTGGTATTATCAGTGACATCCAATAGCAACATATGT